ACCCACTGATCTACGCACACACACACACACACACACACACACACATTCACACACACACACACACACAGAGAGCGAGAGAGAGAGCAGCATCAGTATGGGTTGTGGTTCTGCATCTGCTCCAGCAGAGGGCGCACTGGAGACACTCAGAGAACACCAGTACTGCAGATCAGCACATTCACATCAGCTCCAGCACAGCAAGGCCCAATCCCAACTCTGTGTTTGAACCCATTCTCCTTGGCGCTTGGACCCGAGTGTGAAGAGGAAGGGCTTCATAATGTACCCCTGAGCAATGGCCAGCACTACAGCACCTGCACACGTCATCATGGGTCATCACGCGCTCCTGCTTCATGTGAGATCAGACACTGACCGAGTTACTCCAGTTGTGTTATTCAGGTGTTTATCTTCAGGACATCACTGAAGGCATATATCATGTTATCCTCACCAAATAATGTGACAATAAGATCATAACTGTCCTGCGCATGTACACAGTGGCCATATTCATCATGTAAACACACCATAACAGCATTAGCATTACAGCAGACACTGTAAACAGGTGTACAGTTGCAATATAAACAGCTTCATTCTGCACTAAAACAGCCTCAAATGTGTATTGTGTTGTGTAACAGCAGTAATGTTTGTCAAACTGTAGAGTCTCTGCTTGTTCCTGGCTGTGTGTGGGCGGAGTGATACACAAAGGGTAAAGAGGCTGTACGGATGCGGAAATTACCTAAATATACCACGGCTATCAGCCAATCAGATTCGAGATATATATATATATACAGTTAAAGTCAAATTAAAGTCAGAATTATCTGCTCTGCTCTGAATTTTTCTTTTTTAAATATTTACACTTATTAAAGCAAAGAGTTGTTGACAGTGTTTCCTCTAATATCTGTTCTTCTGGAGAAAGTCTGATGTGTTTTATTTGGGCTAGAATAAAAGCAGTTATTAATGTTTAAACACCATGTTAAGCTCAATATTATTCACCCCTTCAGCAATATTAGTGTTGGATTGTCTCCAGAACAAACCACTGTTATACAATGACTTGCCTAATTACCCTAACTTTACCCTGATTACCCTAGTGAAGCCTTTACATGTCACTGTAAGCTGAACACTAGTGTCTTGAAGAAGATCTAGTCTAATATGATGTGCTGTCATCATGGAGAAGATATGTCTAGTGTTGA